CTTGCTGGAAGTTACAACTTGTTTGGTGTTTAGTCCCTGATGTCTATATGACTGAATGACAGTGCAATGTAGCGTAATGAAATATTTCAACATGCCGGGACTGTATATAAGCTTTGATATTCCAACATTGCACAGTTATAATGCTCCTAGAACATTACACACGATGTGACCACACAAAATGAAAGATGCAATCAGCCACTAAGCAAGTTGAAAGTAAGCATAATGTGAATTGCAAATTTGCACATCACATTTTGATACCAGGGGGCGCACGTTCGTAGTTTTCGCGAAATATGCCGGACTTTAATTAGCTGTTGCCTAAACCGTTTCCTATCAGTTGTGTCCCTTTGTTTCAATTACGCCATTAATAAGTAGAAAAGCCGGGATCCGGGATCGTATTAAACATATAGTAACCCCGGGAATTGACCACCTACTCTCGGTGTATTATAATTATTATTATTATTATCATTTGAATGTTTTTGTAGAGATTTCTAAATAAGTTTGATTTGTAGTAGTTATAAAAAATCTTTAAAAAAAAAACGTATTTTTTCACAGACAAAAGCGTTATTAATTGAACTCAGAATGTCACACACACACAAAATCTTATTTAATATTGTAAGTGCATGTAAGTACATGTAATGGCAATGGAAGTCGTTGTGTATTGGGCATCAAGAGTGCTAATATGCAATAAGCAAAGGTAAACACAAGTTGTCAATCAATTCAGCCAGAAAAAGATATAGGGATCCCGGAAATTGACCAGTCTAAGAAGATATTTTTCAGATAAGCCGGGATCGTATTAAAACATAAAGGGATCCCGGGAATTGACCGGTTCAACTATATACCAGTGACCAAGGGGTAATCACTTGAGTCTCCAGCAGGGTCAATGTTAAAACACTCTTCTCTTCCTTTCTGTGTATGAGAAATAAAACTAGTAATATAAAAAATACACTCTTACATTGACAGTTTCTCTGTATATATTTAAAATACAAGACTTGATTGCCAGACATCCCATACAAAAAGTACTGGTTTCCTACAAATGCTAGTTAATTTACCAGTTCAAGAATATAGTTTTCAGAAAAGCCGGGATCGTATTAAAACATATAGGGATCCCGGGAATTGACCAGTTCAAGAATATAGTTTTAAGAAAAGCCGGGATTCTATTAAAACATATAGGGATCCCGAGAATTGACCAGTTCAAGAATATATTTTTCAGATAAGCAGGGATCGTATTAAAACATATAGGAATCCTGGGAATTGACCAGTTCAAAAATATAGTTTTCAGAAAAGCCGGGATCGTATTAAAACATATAGGGATCCCGAGAATTGACCAGTTCAAGAATATATTTTTCAGATAAGCCGGGATCGTATTAAAACATATGGGGATCCCGGGAATTGACCAGTTCAAGAGTATAGTTTTCCGAAAAGCCGGGATCGTATCAAAATATATAAAGGTCCCGGGAATTGGCCAGTTCAAGAATATAGGTTTCAGAAAAGCCGGGATCGTATCAAAATATATAAAGATCCCAGGAATTGGCCAGTTCAAGGATATAGTTTTCAGAAAAGCTGGGATCGTATTAAAACACATAGGGATCCTGGGAATTGGCCAGTTCAAGAATATAGTTTTCAGAAAAGCCGGGATCGTATTAAAATATATAAAGATCCCGGGAATTGGCAAGTTCAAGAATATAGTTTTCAGAAAAGCTGGGATCGTATTAAAACACATAGGGATCCCGGGAATTGACAAGTTCAAGAAAATATATATAGTTTCCAGAAAAGCCGGGATCGCATTAAAATATATAAAGATCCCGGGAATTGGCCAGTTCAAGAATATAGTTTTCAGAAAAGCTGGGATCGTATTAAAACATATAGGGATCCCGGGAATTGACCAATTCAAGAATATAGTCTTTAAATTTTCCAATTAATTAGGCATATAATTATAAGTATTGTGATTTCCGCATTTTAAGTCTGTTTATAAATAGCTCTAAATATATTTATATCCCAAGTTAAATTAATTTACCGTTCATTACATACAATGAAAAATAAAAACTTAACGTTTTTAAATCGCTTTTCATTACGACAATAATCATTATACAAATATAGTCTCTACATTTAATACGATCCCGGATCACGGGATTCCCCCCGCCCCCACCTTAATTTGTGGAATTTCAGGAATTTCAAACCGCAAGTCCTCCATTTCTAAGAAAAACAATTTAATTTAAGCAAATGAGATGTAGAAGGCGAGCTAAAATTTAATCTGGCCCCTAAATCAAATCAAATTACTTTAATTAGATGTACCATCATCATTACTGACTAATTCCAGTCCAGTCAAAATTTTGAACAATGAGTCAATGTTAATTGTAATGGCCTATATTTGGACGTTATGGCATGCATACAGAATATATTGTCAATGCTACGGGTAAAAGAAGTGCCCGACAGTCTATTTGTAATCTTTTTGCTAAATAAAGTTACGACAAATGGCAAATTGAAAAGAAGGGGAAGTAACTACTATACATATTCGGATATCCACGATAATCTTTCCGGCAAATAATTATTCAAATTACGGAAAAACACGACTAGAACATAGCGCCCCCTGTTATCAAAATGTGACATAATTTTGAACTGACATTATGCTTAGTTATATTTTGCCTAGTGCCTGATGACATTTTCCATACTGGTTGATCACTTCGTGTATTCATTACAAATTAACCAAGATAACCACTGGCACAGCATGATGAGCTAGATGGAACTTTTATTCACTCAAATGAAAATATGAAAAAGGCATCAGGGACTAAACACCAAACAAGTTGTAACTTCCAGCAAGCATGTTATCATTGTCAACAAGCGTGATGAAAGTGCAAGCATGCATAACGACTGTATCAATAAGCACAATAGCAGTGTCAAAGAGTAAATTGTAACAGTAAGCAGGAAGTGTGTAATTGTCAACAAGCGTGATGAAAGTACAAGCATGCATAGTGACTGTACCAATAAGCACAATAGCAGTGTCAATGAGTAAATTGTAACAGTAAGCAGGCATTGTGTAATTTTTACTTCAATATCATTCCATATACACATTTGATGAAAGCTTTGAAACTATACACTCTAGTCTCGTCGCTTAGATAAAAAGATGTAAAACCACGACACATTTCAATGATCTGCAGGTCGGGAGAAAGTGCAATTAGGTTTTGAAAAGTTTTTATGCCCATAAGTTTTGATAATGTAACCAATAATATTATACAATATTTTAATACAAATATCGCGGAAAGTTGTGTTTTTATTTAAAACTTAAACATACATTTTGACATATATTGTTGTCGACGCTTTATTATTTGAGACATAATACACAATCTAAGCTATTAAAAACATAATGTCGGTTTCCCTTAACGTGGTTAAAAGGAAAATTAAAGTTAACACTGAATCAAATCAAAACATAAGATGAGTGATTTAAAATTAAATTTAATTTTATACATGTATCTTATTTATAAAATGTAACATTTATTCGTGAATATTTAAAATGAAATATAATGTACACAAGTTAAAACAGTTTCTGCACTTAGTTGCGCCCTTACAGAATCGATAACTTTCTCACCTTGATAAAATTAAATGAACAACATTATCATTAAAACTGTCTAAATTGACGATTCTATATGTTCATATGCTTTTATTGAAAACTGCGACTCTAAAAATAAAGTTCTGAATAGAAAACCTCTAACCGTTGTGTGTTCGAACCCCTGCCAATATTTATATACAAAAGCTCTTCAGAAATCTGTCAAATTCTGTTTTCCAGAAATATGTTAGGAGATGATTCAAATGTTACAAACCACGACAGAATTAGAATTATTAATCTTTTTCCCACTAAAATAGCCTGTGCTTTCTTTTTTAACATCGTGTAATAGTGCACTCGAATGCGCAGTTTTTTCTTTTAAATTAGTCGAGTTATATAGTGTCAAGTCTTAAAGATGAATAATGGTGACTCTGTAGTTATGAAGCATCTACGAGATATCTTGCTAATGATAAAATAGAACAAGCCCAGTAACACCGCCCTTTCGGGTCAAAATCAGTAACACGCAGATGGTTTTTATATAACATAATCGCCGATGCAATGATGACAGATTAATATTAAAAATTAAGTCATTACTATCTACATAATTAAAAAAGGTATTACAAAAGGATATTTACATTTACATATACAAAAAGGATTACATGTATCTATATTCACATATTTCATTAAGATATTTATATATACATAATCAAACAGGATGTTCATATTTACATATTTGAAGACATACTATGCTCATCTAAGAGAAAAAAATGATCCATGAAATTAATTGAAATCTATGTTATTCTTTCTGAGTATGTCTTATTTTAGTAACAGAATGTACAATCTGTATGTTGGAAGCTGTATTTCATATTACAGGTCAAGTAAAGTTGATTCTTTCTTAAACAAACCACCAGTTTTTTAATGACACTATATATTCTTGTCTGGTCCACCTATAGTGTGTAGAGTTTAAAACATAAGATGTCTTCTTTGTGTGTAGTCAAAACATGTTTATTCTACATTTACAAAAAGATTGTGTAGCAATTATCAGTCTCTAAAAATATAAAATTTGAGCGTTTTATATCTTTGAACTGGATACAAACACGTATTATAATGTTATGTCAATAGCATATTCGAACAGGATATTTATATTTACAAAATTTAACAGAGTCTTTATATTAACATACATGTATTCAAACAAAATATTTATGTCAAAATTTTCTGACAGGATATTTGTATTTGTATAATAAAACAAAATATTTATATATTCAAACAAGACATGTTTCATCAAAATTTAATATTCAAACATGATTTTTAAATCTACATATTCAAACATGAGTTTCTTTATTTACATACTCAAACAATTTTTTTATTTAATCGTCTTTGAGAAAGATATTTATCTTGCATACTCGTTTTATATACTGAGTATTAAGATATACTAAAGCGTGTTAGTGTTATTTTAAAAAAATTAACATGGAATTTTCAAATCTGTTTTGATAAAAAATAAATATTATGATTGTACAAAAATAAAACAAATTCAAATTAGATTGTTGATAAAAATGGGACGGACTATTGCAGCAGTTTGAAAGAGTGTAATACTTTCAGTACTAATGAATTATGTTGTTGCTTAAATATCTGAAGTAATAACAAAAAAAAGAAACATTCCTTTGGAATAAGACAAAAAATATTAGTAGATTATGTATGTAAAGCATTGACTTTTTTTCGAATATTTTAGACATGTTTCTTTGCATTAAACGTGACAATTCCTGTTTTTTTTGTTTGTTTAAATTTCAAATTTTGTAGCCATGAATCAATGCTGTACTCATTTTAGTGCCTTGATTTATTTGATCTTCTTTCAACGTGTAACATCTCCAGTACTAACCAGATGCAAGCACCTAGTCAGATTGACGTCATTTGTGTGTCCCTGTCTTCATACGATTGTACAGCATGTTGGTCGTTTTTTCCGCAAGTGTCGCAAGTGAACAGTTTGCGATTGAATAACATGAATACAATAGGATTACAGGCACTGTTGAGTGGGTATAGACAGTTGAATAAAAGAGTAAAGTTCTCTCCCACCGTACCTGGGTGAAATATGTACATCAACATTACTACGAAATAAGGCGTCCAGCATAAGAAAAAGGCTGAAAGTAAAACAAAAGTGTATTAATACATAATTATATGCGATACAATATTCATTCACAATGGTTCATGTAGATTAATTATTATCTGTTTTGTTTTGATCTCATTTATACTTCTCAGTTTAATGATTTATAAATTAAGGTAGTACACCCCTAATGCACTTTCTCCACTTTGAAGATTATTTAAATAGGCTAGAATCACTGTAAAGTGTATTGAAACTGAGGGGCGAAGGTTCAAACCCCAGAAGGGGCAACTTTTATTTATTTATTTATTTTTCTTTTAAACATTTTTTATAATTATCTCTCAGTAATATTTTTTATTATTATCTCTCAGATCCCTAATGGAAGAAAACAGTGCTTCATTTTAATTATATAATTATTGAAGGTATTTATTTACTAAATAATGCCAAATTTAATAGCAAATATGATACCAGATATTTTCAAAGATAAAGAAAATCAAAACTACACGGTAAAAGTATTTTATATTTTGCAAGACCAACCAATATACATTTAAGAAAATTAATTCAAACTTTGAAAACAGCCCCTCATTGTGGAAATTTTTAGGGATATTTTAAATAAGGATTTTTACATAGGGAAATGGTCAAATAAGTGTTGAAAGTGGGTGGGGTAGGATTACATTTTTATACATATTAAAAATTCTTACCTAAATGTCATTATTTGTTTCTTAACAATTAGCAATAGGAAAACAGTTTTCATAATGATGATATTATAGATTATTAAGAGTTTCCTCATATCTGAAAAAAGCCCTTCTCATGGCAAGGGTTTAGTTCAGAAAAATGTCCATAACTCATAAACCACACGGTAAATTTTGTTTAAATTTTGCATACAAGTGACATTTTTGGCATAAAACTGTCCTATGTTTTCAATTTTACAGTTTCTTATAGTGCCCATTAGGGGTGTTCTACCTTAACTATATATATAAATAAACTCCAAAATGTCTTTAAAATGATAACAAGATTTATTTTTCACTAAAAATGAACAAAAACAATTATTAGCACCATTAGTTTTAACATATTTTATTTAGTAATGTAAACGCATGTATCATTTTACATCACTATATTAATATGTGTTTCACTTTTAAATAATCAGAAATGGTAATTAACATTTACATGAAGTAAATACAGCTTATATATAATGCACTGTAATATGTATCGGTGTAAGTTTCTAAGAAATTAAATGCAAATAGCTTAAATTTTAACTTTGATCAAAAATGGTTTCTGACAGTTTCTGATAAAAACATGCAGTGTTTAATGAAGTTGTCGCGTAGTTAATTTTTTGCACATTTTATAGAACATTTACATACCCAAACATACGACCATTGTCATTTTGATGCTCTTTATCTTCGCCTTCGGAAGAACTCCTTGTTTTAATGAGTTGTCACCTTGAAGTCGGTCTATAATGATATATGATATATAGATATCAATAATGTGTCGAGATTACCTAATTGTTACATATCTTGACATTAAGTTAACAGCTAAAGAAAAAAAAAGTTTATTAAGTAGAGGTTCATTCCTATTTGTCCAAATAATGTTGTAAATTTCTAAGTGTTTTTTTGTTAAAAAATGTAATTAAATTCAAAATGACAATGATGTCCTAATTATATTCCTTTTATTCATGTTTATACATTTTCATTGAAGTCAATTTTTTATGTGGCTAGAGTAAAGTCCGAAGCATTTTTTTCTGTCATCTATAGCTAGTCTGAAATACATTTTATGAGTATAAGAATGTATCATTAATTGTTAATGAAAGTTGTTAAAAAAGTATAAGACTTGTACTTTTAAAACATTTTAAAGTGAATTGGTCTTTAATGGAATGTCTGTAATACATTGAATGATTTCGTTGATTGTACTAAGTATTAGACATAACAACAAACCACAAACTAATTATACATGGAAGTTACAGGCAGGTGTGAAACACATGATCTCATATTACATACATGTATGTAGCAGATAATTTCTATTAAGTTTTAGAAGAATATGATATTTTTTATTTGATAAATGGTTATTGAAAATAATTCAAAACTTGATCAACGCGATTTTTTAGTAAAACGTTTTATAATAATATCAAAATGATACATTCGTTTTTATATATTGATTTTTTTTATCAATATTTGAAACCTTATGCAAAAGTCGCCAATTGAAGATCTATCTTCTTGAAGTAAATCCATGTACACACATCTGTCAAAATAATTTATAGTCAATTGCCCTTAAAATATTAAGTAAACAATACTTAACTCATCGAAGAACAAATGATACTTAATCAGTCTTACCTCTGCTTGCATCGGTGTTTATCTCTGATAATTTTACCCTTGAATGCCATTTCATCCAAACTATGATACATATACCAACATAACATACTGTTATACCGATTGTTGGTAACACATAGATAATTACTGCAACTGTAAGACTATACGGCTGTTTAAAATGAAATCAAGTGAAAACATGTATAAGTTATTTGTTTTCCGCAACAAACCTTTGACAAGAAATCGACAAAACATTGAAACAATATTTTATTGTAAATAATCAGACTGATATATCCCCTAAGCTTGTTTATTTATAATAACAAGTACTTATTCAAATATGTAGAATGTTACCTATATCATTCACAATGATACCAAAATATTTGTTATATCTTGTGATATACCAGGCAATATTCAAATCAGATGCATGCACATTCATATTCTTCTGTCATTTATATTATATTTAATTTGTTATACTTTTCAATATAACAATCTATCTAACGCTTATTATCAATATTGCCAACCGCTGTATTACCTTCCACCAATTATCTGGAAGTTTGATATCACAGCCACCTTTTTGTTCATCAATATCAGCTCTATTTGGATTTGCATTTACTCCCCGACTGTAGATGATGAAAAAACTTGAGACCACTATACTGATAAGCCATGCCCCTGCGACCAAGCATTTGTCTAAATTCCTATAAATACCTGATAGATAGATCATTATAATAATATTTTCTAATTTACATTCAATTCGTTTGCTCAGAATTCATTTTAAAATGAATGACCAATTTTACTATAAAGAGTATATATCTAGTATTATTAGAATGTCTGTTTTCTATAATTATTTATCAAATCGAATAACAGGACTATGCAATTCCCGAAAAATTACCCGGACCATGCAAACAACCATCTTTTATCATTTTATATGACAAATAATTGTTATTCAAAAGACATGCATTTGTGGATACACGTTATGATTTTTTAAAGAAATACGGAAATAACAATACCTATTCTTAGAACTTTAAATGGATACTTTATTGCCAGAAACCTGTCTACACTCATGCTGATCAGAAGATTATTAGATGCAATCACAGTCGTTGTTGACATAAAACGTGTAAGTCTACACATAAAGTCACCACCATACCATTCTTTGTGCATTGCACTAGTTATACCAAGTACAAGGACACTGCATACACCCACGAGAAAATCTGAAATGTGAATCATAACCAACGGTTCGTTTAAATTTGAATTATATTCTTGTTCCTATTGTTTGTGTTGAAATTTGTTTTCACTGCGTTTGATTTATATTTTCTTTTGTAATTAAATTGCTTTTAAGTAGTTTATAAACGAACTCCATTACATACTGATAATTCAATATTCCTGTTACTCAACATTTAACTACGGGTTAAATTAAACATTTATCTGACGTGTTATGAAATTCTTACTTTTGATTGCAGGTCACAATATTCAGCTTCATAATCCTTAATATTACTAAGGATGTGTATGTAAGATACAGCTTGATGTATCAAGATTTGGATTTGAGTTAACATACTTATTTATAGAACTGAATATAAATGAGTTTAACAAAGAATCTACGGTAAAAGAAAAAATAGTTTTCTCACCTGCTATTGCTAAATTCAGTACAAAATAGAAGAGGCGACTCTTTTCATGTTTCCTGAACACGAGGATGTAAATTACAAGTCCATTTAGGCAAACTATGATAATGAACAAAAGTAAGGAAATTGTTGCAGCAGCTGCTTCGTATGGCTGAAATATTGAGAGAAAAGAACTTATAGAATGTATAATACAAGAGATCTTCGCCATTTTGACGCAATGGTTTTGTGTCTGAATATCAATGGAATGTAATAACGGTTTGAAAAAAATATTTCCGGTAAAATTCATGTCAATACATATCGTATGAATAATTTATAACTCCCTGATGCAGCGATAATAGAAAATAAGATTAATACAATAATTTTGTCCAATAAAGTTAGTAAATCATAGAGCAATCGATCTACAAAAACAATATATCATACTTTTGCTGTACATATTATTATTATTATACAGATGTTAATAACAATGCATTAAAATCTCTTTAGCAATGACAACTCATTACAAGAATGAATGCTAGGTTCAGAAATTAAACAGAATGACGCACGTTATGCATTTTACAAATCACCGTTATAATAATAATAATAGTAATGATAATAATGATGATGATGATGATGATGATGATGATGATGATGATGATGATAATAATAATAGTACATGTATGTTCCCTTTAATGGTAAAAGTCAGCAAAATATACACTTTGATTGACATTTATATAACGTAACTTAAAGATATAATTGTTTTCATCTTTATGGAGGCTATTCGTTGCCAAAAATCAAGCCTTTGAAACTTGACAATGCATACTTCGGTTCCACTAAACAGATTAGTAAAAATCTAATTGTCGAGCCAAAATTACATACTGCACTGGTTTTAAGCGATTTGCTTATCTTGATTTGATAAAATGAAAGCTGTTAACTTGCAACTTAGATAAATTGCAAACTGTATTTAGAAATGTATAACTTCAAATTTGCGACACGTAGAAATGTAAACGATAGAACGTACACCACACGTTTAAATTGTACATCATGACGTTGAGAATGTAATTGCATCAATAAACACTCTCGGGTTGACAACACCACACGTTCTGTTTACATTCTAACGCAATTAACATTTGTAAACTATTTTTCAACTTCCATATATGTCTTTATCACGGAAATAGAGGAATAATAATAGCCGGACCCAATTTTCACGAGAGCAGAATATAAAGAGAGGCAACTCTTGCTGTACAATAATAATGAGTTCAAAAATATTTCAAATTAAAACGTCTCATACACCAACTGCATTACAGTTGACTTTGAATATCATCTGATTTTGTTAAAACGTATTCTAGCACAGGATATTCAAGTAATGCAAAATTGGATAAGATATAATATTACAATGTAACAACGTTTATACTGTAAATGAGCATAATAATATGCAAAATCTAAAGTTGTTGAATTAACACAAGGGACTGTTTCCCATATATAAGGATATAAACCACTCTTGCTGCTGAGCAAGCTTTTCACCGACTTCATGAACTGTTGAAATAATTGTTTCAGAAAGATAGATGATTGCTAAGCGCACATTAGATAATGTTTCGATAGTTCAGGAACGTTATGGTCATTTCTGGAATTTAAATCAAGAGTAGCAGAATATGATATGATAATCTTGAAAGAATAATCTTATTTAACCTTATTTAAGACCTAGATTCACTACTTTGAACAAAATGACGTAACAAGTCTTTTTAGATTACATCTTTCTGAGCGTTTGCCAAACAGTTTAGCAATATGCATTCAAAATCAAATATTTGTGAGTTTTTTTCACATTCATCAAGACAAGATAAAAAGTATTGCTAATGATGAAATTTGACGTTTTATATGTGTAATTTCCATTTTTTTAAAATAACCACATTAACTGTCGATGGGTCCCTTTCTAGAATATGTCACGGTACGTAAATTGGGTTTAACAGATAAGGTTCTGAAAAATGGCAGATCAGAGCCTGTCTTGTAATAGTTCTACGTCCAGCATCGAATCTGTTCAAATATCGAGAAAGGAAAGAGGCTGTTAGGGGCAATATCTTGTGCACAAGGATGGTTGGCCTAAACTTTTACCTTTTCTGTCAAAAACACTTTTATACGGCAGACTTACGAGCTGGGGCATTATCGTGTACAAAGTACATGCTTGAAACAAATAAATTGGCGCCTGTTATGAGAATATTGTTTACTTCATCTGAAAAATACTTTCAAGTGACACTTTTGCCTTTTTACTGGCATCTAAACTGCAATACCTGCACTTAACAAAACATTTGCATGCAAAACAGTTCCGTTTTTGCACTCAACGAAGATTAAGTAAATACTGCCCTTTTGTTAGCTTTTGAAGCCCGTATTTTACAGTAAACAGTTCCTTCAAAATAATACACCCAAGTGTCAACCACCTATTACTACATTTTACAAATTTCTTTTTATCATATTTTTGAAATATTTTGAAAAGCTGTAAGGGTACTTTAATCTTTGCTTATTTGATCTTCATTCAACAATAAGGCACCCCATGTAAGGAATCTTCATGTTATTAAAGATATTGTTTCAAATAGAATCAAAATAACAAAGTGAAATACTACTTTTTCGTGCAATATCGTCAACTGTAAATCTAACATTTTTTCAACAATTTTTTTAATTATTGATATGTTTTCGGCACCAGATGCACACTTACACCTTCCTTGTTTGAGTCTAACCCATAATTATATTTCTTTTTCCATATGTGAATTGTGTCATAAGACTTATTACATGTTATGTTAATGTCAGATATTTCAGCCAATACCTGCTTCAAAAGCAAGTCAAGCTAAGAACGAGCTGTTTACATACGGGTCCGTATATGTTCCTTTTTGTCAACACTTTTGCCAACGATTTTAGTAAAGTACTCAACCTTTATTTGTGAATTCGAATGTCTAATTGTTCAGTAATTCATAGCTACATTTATTTATACACCCATCTGTAAGTATGAAACAACTTTGTACGTGCATGCATTTATTTGTTGCCATTTCTATGAGGATTCTGTGCAACGGCACACTAAGCATTTTTTTCGCACATCTCTCGTATAAGCTAGAATAAATGGCGAACATGTTTGAAAAATATTTACTAAAATATTTCTCTGAATACCTTTATAAAAATTCTCCTCATAAATTTGATGAAGGCAATAACATGCAAATGTTGTCGGATACAGAACTTTAAAACATAATTTATTTAATAAATTGCTAATATTAAACAATTAAAGATGAAAAGCAATTGAAAAAAGTATAGTATACAGTTTCAGTCAACAAGCGTAACGGAAATACTCCGAATGATTAAACTATGTTATTAAAGATATACAAGCATTCGTTTCAGCATACATGTAGCAAGTTGTTACTCAATGTTAAACTATGTAATCAAAAACCACTGCATCACGTAGATAGTAATATTTTTACTACCCTGGTAGATCATTTATTTTAACTTTGTATGAATATACCCATGATAAAAAATCAAATATTAATTAATAAATAATTATATTATATATTTGTATAATATACCCATGATAAAAAATCAAATATTAATTAATAAATAATTATATTATATATCCGTATAATAATATTATTTCTGTTTTCTTACCTCAGATGAAGACATGTCCGTTTGATTTTTACTTTGAACATAATTTGTACCTGCCGTCACATTAACAAAGCTATTTTTGTCCATGTTAAAGACTTAACATTAAATATTTACTCCAAATGAGAACACTTTTTCACTATCAAAACAGATTTCATAAACTAAGTGTAGTGACAGCTAATAATAGTTTCTGTCCTTGAAAAAGTGAATGGTTTAATATACAGTGAAACTCGGTTATAACAAACGCGTTCGGACCACGATAGTGAGTTTGCCTTATCCGAATTATCTTATAAACAATGTATTTAAGTAGTATTATCTTATAAGCAACTTATATATAAAGAACATAAATAACATGAACAGCTTACGTGTTCGACGATTCGATATATATATTATAAAAATGTAAATATAAAAATATATATATTTATATATAGATAACTGTTATTTACTTTTATACACAAATGTGGTAAATATAAATCTTGCCATTACAATATTTACCATGGATACAAATTATCTTATTTATATCTTGGTTATACAAAAATACAGAATATATTAACGATTACTTGCTTATCACAATTGAGACGTATCGTTGCGTCTCTTTCTGACAACCAAGAGTCTCAAGGTGTGACAGCATGTCACATATATAATTTTTTCGTGGTTCGTTGATACATAATACCAACAATTATTGATAGTATTACAAACCTTCCGTTCCAAATCAATTCAAATGCCTTGTTTACTTCATTTTGTTTATCTTATGTTCTTTTTAAAATCATTAGACCGAATTAGATGTTGTATTGTGTTACTGTAGTGATCTAAATCTGTTTTGGTTATGTCTATTACGTAATTTGCAATCCACGAATGCAAAACCTCCACAAAAGAAACTTTATCTAACTTCTCACTAGCTTTATTAACAATGCAACTTTAAGTAGCTATCGTAGCTACCACGATGTGTTCTGCAGTATTCATAGTTTATTTTGATACACCGATGTACATGATACATATATTATATTCATATTTACATCACATACTTGAGAAGGGAGGTTAAATAAAGGATACTCTAAAAAGGTAGAAGCAGTGTAATGCAGAAAAGCTGATAGTTTGTCTCACGTTGTAGAGTTTACCATAACGTTTGACTAACTAAAATTAAATTTAAGACATTTTAGTAGGAGAATCTAGAAAACATGTCAATTTTTACATATGAAATCAAAAGGTTTAAACTGAACTAGTTTATTTATTGTTCAAGTAATGTTAAAATGTTAATACTTGCATGCAGTCATTAATTAAATTCATTCTAACATGCATTTTAAACTTCTTTTGCAATATTATTGGAGGAGTGGAATCGTTTTAAATTATTCACAATATATTACTAGCAAATGAAATCCTTATATTTATAATTTATATTTGAATCTTTTCGTTCTTATTGGACCGTTTACATTTTAAAGTTTTGATATGTGTAATGTAACTTGAAGAACCATCAATTGTACATACAGTTATACTGAACTCGGTTTGCGAAATTGAGGGTTTTAATTAATAAATAATAATATTGAGATATTTTGAAAATTTCTTAAAAAAGCAGGCGTAAGATATTAGCACAATAATAACAAACCAGGCTTTGCTTATAAACAAGCAAAGATTGATACGTTCGAGTGTTCGGTATCTAGTCATAATATTTCTTCCGGAATATGTAACAAAACTCTCTGGTCCCCTTGCTTTATCAATGAGTAACATGTTACACAAATTAACTTATGTTAAATACGATCGAAATATGATGCTGTTTACCTTATTACTTGTAATAAATGCAATATGTAATATTTTGGGAAAACTAAGCAAGCAGTTTCAATTCGTATGAATTGTCACACATTTGATATTTGCAACTTTACAGATCCCCCTCTTCCACAAATGTTGCATTTAGCTTTAAATTTGAATCATTATAATATCATTGATTATTCATAACTTGTACATATATATCATTAGAAATAACATTGACAGTCTATAAAAATAAGCTTACTGGATACAGAAAATTACAAACACAATAACAAGAAGGAATAAGCATACACCGAATGATATAATTATGTTTAACATAATATTGTATGTATATATTTCAAGTACTAGTTCCTTTCCCTATTTACGTTTTTATATAATACATGTATATCGCTATAGGAAATATCAGTATTATATAAAAAAGTACTTATCTCTTAAAGTAATTGTATATTTAAGACTCTTAAAAAGACACATATTTTAATGTACTTTTTTCCCCGCAATTCTAAAGTTATGTAATTATTATAAAGCCTTGTCCGCTGTTTGTTTGTTTTGATATATATCATGATAAAGGCGTTACCTGACACGTTGATGAATAAAAGAAAATAATTAAGTTATATTCATACCTTGTTGTTGAATGATCTATCCTAAATATTTTCTTTTTCCAATCCATAAACAATATTTTACTTTCATTATGGCCATTATGGTTGATTCTATGTACTCTTTGTTTGTTTGCCTTTTGTTTAACATTATTTTTTCGTGTACTGTTAAACGCTCTTGGCATTCATCGGTTCCTTGGCTAAACGGTGCGTCGGTCTTTCCTGTAGGACTAGATCGTGTTGGAGAAAGTTAAAAGGCCATTCAGATCTACATTCTTCAAATCTGTTGGGGCGGTGGAGTAAGCAAGGACATGTTTAACCCATAACTTCATGAGCATTTTGTGAAAAACGGCTGTTTGCATTGAAAAGTATCCCGTTACAAGTTCAAATTGCTATAAAATCATAAAAACTGCTTCAATACTAATCAAACTTGTCACAAATGTTGACTGGACCATTGACTTTGTAACAACGTGCTCAGTCTTAAATTTCCTGTTACCATGGCAACGAGGGGACATTTCAAAATTGCCAAAAATCACTATTTTGCGTGTTGTTTCCATCAAAATGATTTCAAAGTGCTGCAACTTCTCAATTTATTAAGGTAGAGTCAAAGGCTTTTCAGCGTTGGTTACACGTTACGTTATGATCGATCTGGGGTCATTTTTAGCCTCTCACAAGTCCAAAATTTTCTTGGCGATGAGGGGACTGTCTCCCCCCCCTTTAACTCCCCCCCCAAACAAGAAGGGAGCATATCCCCCTTCAGGCACCCCTTGATTTTTCTTTTGGTTAGGGGAAAAAGGCGCCGAAAAAGTGGTCACTTTTTTAAACAACATTTCTCAAACAAAAACAAGTGTTGGGGCCAAAATAAGTCATTTTTTCACATTTTGAGACAACAAAAAGGGGGGGGGGGGTGAAAAAGGCGATAAAAGGCATGCGTATCGTGTAATGGGTTAATTACCCATTGATTTTGTTTTCAGACTATATACCTGTCATTCAATTAATGTTATTTATCCTTTCATTGATATTTCAATAGTGCAATGAAAGTGGTCCATTAAACATAAATCAACACCATTTTATTTAAGAACAAATTAATTACAACACATAAATGCCGAAGTTACGGACAATGCTAGATACAAAGAAGAAGAAACAAACGACAAATCATGTTATCATTCAATTCTTTCTCTGGCGGAATTAAAGAAATGTCCGACAAATGTTGTTTTAGTATACTTATCCTTGCAGACATTTAGCAATTAATGATTCAATTTGTTTAAGACCAAAAATGTCACAATGTGTAAACATATCTGACGGGAAGTAATAGTGCAATAAATGTAGAGAAGAGTTCTTAAACAATAAAATGTAAGGCCACCAATTAATGCAGATATTTTACAGATACATATTGAACTAATGAGGAATAGCTGTATCAAGTTCTGATAGTATTTTACTATACCCCCGGCCACGCCCTTTCCCTTAAAATAGTGTTACATATATGGATAATTCGAAAGGATATATATAACTAAAGTGCGATGAAGTAAGCAGCAACTGTGACAAAGTATTTTAAACCTGCTGTTATGAGTATTGGAAATTTTTTAATTTGGAAGGTTTCGTCGAAAGCAATGAAAAAATGGAAAAACATATTCAAATTCGATTGGAATCAATAAAAAAATAACAACCTTCTTTAATAATTTATGTAATTGCATATGTTATAGGGTGTCAATTTTAAGTTTTGTTATAAATAGTTTTCAGTTTCAGACTTAATTTGCTTGATCAAAAAAGCATAAAGTACCTGATCAATTGTTTTTTCTTTTCAACTATTATGCGTGGAGCTTCACTGTGTAGAAATTTAATGAGGCGGTCCGAACTGAAACGTTATGCATTAGATTTGGTAAAAGACACGCACTATTTAATAAGAGCTAGCAGTCATTGAACGAAAATCCAAATATACTATTTAGAATGTAATTGATGAAAAACGATATTTCAAAAAAAAAGATTGTTTCGATTATTAGAGCATAAAATCTAATCAACAGATAATAAAAATATTATAGAACATCAAGTGGCAAGAACCATTTATATTATAGATATTCTTTATGATACTATTGAGTAATTTAATCGCTTGTAAACATCAAACTGCAATGCAATAAAATGAAATCAATAAGCATCAAATATCAGTTCATTATTTCGTTCAATGACTGCTAGTTATACCGCTAAACATTTTTCCCGTCAGACATGTTTACATATTGTGGTTAGTTTGGTCTTAAATTGTGCTAGTAATCTCGGAACGGATGTTCCGAAACACTTGACATACCATATATCATTGTGCAAATGACAATCTTACAAAACATTCAGCTGCTGTATTCATTTCGGTGAGGTTGAGCATAAAACATTCGCATATCCGGAAATTTAGAAAACATTGTTTCAATTGAGGTACATGTTCTATTATACAATGAGTTATTAAAAGGAAACAAAAAACCGTCTCTTTTAATAACACATGGTTCAACCAAAGGAATGTTAAAATATTTAAATTGTTCACTAATAAAAACGTAATTCAACAAAGTTCATAGATCTCAAATTCATATGAATTATTTACTTGTTGTTTTATCTATCAGACAGCTATTATAGTACTGTTATCAGGTTTAATTGGGATCACAATTTTACTACGATAAGCCAATAGAAAATTTCGAAAATATGCCAATGGAGGTAATACGCAATTTTATTTCGATACGAGTTAGATATCATACCGTGAGAATATGGAGAGCGTTCGTCAGCAACTTACCTTAATACG